TTGTCCGCGTCCCTGGTTGGGTCGTGCGGGTGGCAACCATTCGATGTGTCCCTGTCACGTCGATGTTTCTCTCTCTCTCTCTCCCTCCCACTCTATCTGAACAAAATATGGAAAAAATGTCCTCGGGTGAGGATTAAAATAAATAAATAAATGTTAAATAACTGTTGTATAGCTAAAACTAATATAATATTGTATATTAACTCTAGTTTAATAAAAAATATTCAAACATTAAAAAATGTCATCAGTTACCTTGGGAATTAAGATTAGATTTTTAACTTAAAAAAATAGAAGTACCACATAATCTTTGAACACATATTAGGGCATACAGATAAGCAATTATTTCCTTAACCAAAGGTAAACAGTATTAACATTTTTATATATGCTTTCAAAATGTTTCTATGTATGTAAATATGTATTCATATTTATATATGCAAAAAAATATATTTGTAAATGTATTATGAAAAGTTTCATATTGTATACACTGTTTTGTTTATTTTTTTACTTAATAGGTATCACCTATTTGTAAAATAATAAATATACATCTATATAATTTTCTTTTCTTGTTTTCATCTTAAAAATAATAGATCTTTAAAAATGTAGACTTGCTCATACTAATTTTTCTTTCGTCGTGTGTGTGTGTGTGTGGAACCTCCTCCCCCCAAATCTATGATTATATAAATAGACACACACTATTGAGGTTTCCCAGGAAAATCCCATTGAAACTAGTCATTTTGTAAGGACAATAAAAATAAAGCATATTTTATAAATTAGTATAGCCATACATTCAAATTGCTGAGCTAGATTTAAAAACAAATTTAATGTAAAATTTGTACAAGTTATTATAGCCTTCTCTATCTGGCAGTTAAAATAACTTGAAAAATATAAGCTGGTTGACTTTTTTCCAAAGATGTAATTTTACTTTAATCAGAGGAGCACATCAGAATTTTCTTGAAAGGTCCTTAAAGTGTGTGTGTGTGTGTGCGCGCGCGCGCATGTGTGTGTGTGTATCCCACACCAAACTTATTGAATCAACTGAGGAGAATAGAGTGAACATTTTGAAAAGGTTCTCGGGTAATTCTGACGAGCTTACCTTTGGTCAGTTAAAGAGAGCTCTTTTCTAGCATTGCTAACACAGGCATTTGAGAAACAATTAGTGAAATGAGTTCTTCTATAATTTCCTAAAACCTTCCATATTTTTGAGGATCAATTCAAGGCCTCTGTCTATTTAGCATCCCTCATTCTTGTCTATGTTTCTCTCTATCCCTCATTCCCATCTATGCATTTCCACACTGTTATTATTGTTCAGTAAGATAATCCTCTGTTTTATCTTGTCATCTGTTTATCCTATGATTTACTTAAGTGTAAGGGCTATTTTGTATTTCTTTTTATTATTTTTCTCTACCATCCCAAGTCCTCTGTATTAGATATTTTATTTCTTTTCTAGCACTTCTTAAAATACTGAAAATTATTTTATGTGTTGTGCCTTGCTAGATACTTAAAAACAAGGACATTATGACTTTTTCAAAGTTCTATTCCCAATCTAGAAGAGTATCTACTTCTCCAAATATACTTGATGAGTAAATGAACTATCTAGATAGTAAATGAACTATCTAGAGGATTCATTTTTGTGTGTGTGTGTGTAAGTATGCTTAATTGTGTATTACAATTTCTTAGTTTCCATCCAATCATATCATCCCTCATCTTCAACCCCATCTATTAGTACTTGCTCTGCAAAAGCCATCATGTTAAGACTATAAAGGTCAAATAATTTTATTTTACTAGTATGTCAAGGTACCCAACAATCAAGTTCATGTAGGTTTCTTTTTGAAAGAAACATAAATCATATATTATTTAGCATGGATAAATTCCAAGGTGTAAAATAGGAAATTATAGACATTTATGTGGAGCTAAAGCATTTGCTAATAATAAAGGAAATACTACTTACACATTAGCAAATTTCTTAATTTTAGTTTGAGGGTTCATGTATTGACTCATAAAAATGGCCATGATGTAATTAATACTTACTCAAACTCTGGCAATATTCATAAGATTTATGATCAATTATATGAACAAACACATCATCATACTTTGGTTCTATAGCACACCTTTTGGCATAGTCAATGTGAGTTTGTTTCTATTGTATGTATGAAATATTATCAAGATCCAGACACTAGGTACCAAAATGAGTGGTTGGCTGATAGCATTTGCCTTTAGGGCTGTCCTTAACCTCATACTAGGTGAGGTGATCACCAATTTACCAGGATGAAGAGTTGTTTCTCTTGAATTTATTAAAGTTGTTCCTCTTTGAGCTGAACATGCAGAATGTAAAGAATACCACACTTACATGGGTTTAGTTTCTTTCTCATGCATATACTCCAAAATGCCATGAGTCATCAAGCGGTAATGCCATTGTGATTCAATTATGATGCTCCAACTTCCCTTATGATGCACATAAAATGTTCAAAATGGTTAGTCTTAATGTGAACTAGATACAAAGTTCATGGCTTAAAAATACTGAAGGATATTATTTCACTTGCTCTGTGAGTAGCTGCATTTATAAAAGTTTCTTAATTCTTTAATGTGATTAATATAATGTAACTATTATAATGTTATGATTAGTAATAATAGTTATGATTTTTGAGCACTCACCAAATGCTAGGCTCTATATTACTTGTTTATGTATCTTATCTCATTTGATCTGCTTAGCAATAGGTAGGTATCTTTATCCCTATTTTCAGGTGAGGAATCTGAGTCTTTCAAATATTAAGTAACTTAGCATGTGGTGGAATTTGTATGTGAAAATCCAACTGGTTTAAAATAAAGCTCATACTAACCACTAGCCACCATATAATGCTATGTTATATTCTACACAAATGTAAATTATCTCCCTCTAAATTTCCAATTGCAATGTAAAGAGCAAACTTTAACTTCAATGTGAAACATTTCTGATGATAGGTGTGTACAACTTGCTTTCATCTCCATAAGGAGAAAGCATAAGAAAAGGGAAGAACAGAATTAAGACAAAATGGAAATCTAGGAGAGCAGAAATGTGCAAAAGTGTAGGCTGATGGCCTGAACTCTAAACAAAATCTCCACCATCGTTTGAAATCTGTGGGCAGGCTCTGAATCTCTCTGATTCACAATAACCTTATCCTCCACAAAAGATGACAATGCAGGCCCCAGCTTTACCCTTGAATAGGTGATACCATCTTTCTAGTCTTATTTTCCATTCTCTATCACATTTTGTCATCAGGTATTCTTTCCACTTACATTTTCTGGTGGGAGGACCATTGAGTGGCCTCTCCATCTTTCTACAAAGCTTTCCATGACACTCATGGGCAATACTGAACTGCATCCTTGTTTTCCATGCACTCTGAATCCTTATCATATGGACATAACAGGACTACTCTTCTGTTTGTCCCACACCACATGGAACTCCTGGACAGCAGGGAACTGGCCATCGTTTAATCTCTTTCTTTACTGCCCCCCCCCCCCAAAAAACAACAACAACAACTGGACTTCACAAATATGCTCTCAACAAATGTTGAATACGAGAGGAGGTATGAATCATGAGTTTATTTCATCCTGCTAAATGTATGGTATTATTTAGCCTATTCAGTAGATGTCATTAAAAAGTAGCTTTAAAAAAGTTTCTCAGAATTAGGACACATGCATTGTGACCTACATTGCTAGAAAGCTTGCTTTACTGGAACAATCAGGGAAGAGAGATGTACTTCAGGACAAGGAAACACTTAGGACAGTGTTTTTTTTCTCTCTTCCCCAAGTCAAGAAAAATCCAGTTCTGGGGTTGTTTCTACATCAAGGTTAGTCAAATTAAGCAGCTTTCTGCATGGTCTTGGGCACCATCCTTCATCCAAATGCCAATATGCTACTGGTAGAGATTATTCCTCTATGCTAAGCTTTGTTCTCTCCAGACCTCTTTTCAAATACCAGTGTAGTCTAAATTCTTTATCAGAGTAGAAAGAGAATTTAGAGTCAGATGAACTTGAAGTCTATCTGGCTTCTGCCATGACCAGCTGTGTAAAGTCCTCTTTGGTTTGTAAAGCTGCCTTTTGCCCTCCTTGTAAAATAGGGAAGATGATACTTACCTAGCAAGGTTGTTGAGTGAGATGGTTTAATATTTTAAGTGTATAGTTTAGCGATAATAAATGGTTAATAAATATCAATTTTGATGAGCGCCCTGGGCCACCTGAAAAAATAGGAAGGGAGTGGTTTGAAATTCTGGCCACTTCATAGCATTGGGTGGGAAAGGGCCCTTGGTTGAGCTATAAACCATCATATGTAAAGCAGCTCCTCCTAAGGAGGTGACTCCTTCTGGTCATTTAAATGAATTTCATGTATCCTTGTTAAAGACATTGGGCTATCATTAAATCACCAAAAGTACTTTGGTCCTAAAGTACTTTTACTTCTTACTATGGAACTGTTTCCATTAATCCCTATCTGCTGTGATATTGAAATTAACCAAAGTATACAGGACGGTTTTTCAGAGAGTTTGAAAAAGTGGGGCTTTGTCAGATACTAGGTCACAAACTCCACGCCAGGCTCAAACGTGAATCTGGTGTTCTTTCAGCTTGCGGTTAGGGGTTTCATTTCCACATCCTCCCGGCGGCTCTCTGCGCTCGAGGTAGGCAGGGTGCCTGACATCCGTGCGTGGTTTGGGGGCAGTAATCTCTCCTGGGGCGGCGGCCGCCTTCACCCACGGAGGCGGCCGTGACGTCACGGGCGATGCCCGCGTCCCCGCCCGCCCTATAAAGCGGCAGGTGAGCGCCGCGCCTCCGGTATGTTCGCGCACCTTGTGCCTGCGCCCCAGTCGGAGCCCAGAGAACCCGGGCGAGCTCCCCGTGCAGCGCCCCAGCCCCACCGGGCTGGCGAGCACGGCCGCTCACTCCTGGTCCCCGGCGTCTTCCGCCACGTCCCCCAGCCCGCAGCTCCCGGCCGGGTTGCCCCAGAGACCGCGCCGCCGCCGCGCCGAGGGACCAATGAGAGCCCCGCTGCTGCCGCCGGCGCCCGTGGTGCTGTCGCTCCTGCTCCTCGGCTCAGGTGAGGACGCCCCGCCTGCGACCTGCCGGCGCTTCTCCCGCCGCGCGCAGCAGCGGCCCCTCTCGAGTTTTGCGGCAACTTCTCCAAAACACTCTGTCCCGCAGGAGGTGTTCACGGTAGCTGCCTCCCTAGAGTAACTCCCTGGGAGGAAAAGAAAAGCCGGCAGGTGTCCCCGCTGGTCCAGGGCAGAAAGAGGGTGCCAGAGAAACCCCTACTTTTACTCCAGTTTAGCTGGAGGAAACCTTAGAGATCCTGTGATCCAAACCCTTGACAGTAGAGGCACCGAGGTGCAGAGGGGTGACGTGGGCTGCGCGGTTCTGTCTCTAAGGCCTGGACCCAGGAGTGCTGCCTTCTCTTAAATTCTCCTCTGTCTAGTGATTTTGTGCCTACATTCCTAGAGGACCTCGAGTCATCCCAGGTTGAAGTTAGCACCACTGTTTTATTGAGATCTAAAAGATATGGGGAGGAGGGTGGCTGGGGGGAGGGGGGGAGAAATATCTGTAACAAAAATAAATTAATTAGTTAAAAAAATAAATAAAAAAGATAAAGCAGGGGCACCTGACTAGTTCCCAGTTTTTCCTCAATTAAGAACAATAATAATGAAACAATGACAGTAAGAATCATTATCAATTACCTTTTATATTACTTTTTCCATTTTATGTATACATAGTCCTTTCTAAACGTGAGCACGTGTTAAAGAAATCTGATATTTATATCTAGAACCTGTCTGTGGTTCTAGATATAATGGGACAGGTGTCGTTTGTTCTAGCAACACAAATGCATTTGGTCTGTGAAGAGGTGGGAATATTTAGACAACACCTGTTAAGTAAATACCAATATTAGAGTTATTTGGCATTTTTTTGGTTTTGTTTTGCTTTGCTTTTGATGCGTAAATCAATGTAGACTATCTGTGGAAAATAAACCTTGATGAAAGAAGCTCTGTAATTGGAACAGCTGAGTTTGCTTGTTGGCAAAACGGGAAGTTGCTTTCATAAGTGACTCAGTCACAATTGTACATGTGTGATAACTGCTTTGATATCAGAAGCTCAGCATTTCTCCTGACCGCAGCCGACTGGTGAGAAAGGCATTCTGCGTCACCTTTCCTTCCCTTGCTCCTTCTCCACAGCCCAGTATGCTGCAGGATCGGCTGGCAATGACACTTCCTCTGGGAAAGGAGAACCATTTTCTGGGGATCACGATGCTGATGAATTTGAGGTCACCTCAAGAAGTGAGATGTCTTTAGGAAGTGCGATTTCCCTTGTGAATGAGATGCCTTCCGATAGCGAACTGTCCTCAGAAATTGACTATGACTATGCAGAAGAGTATGACATTGAATCACAAATATCTGGCTATATCGTAGATGATTCAGTCAGAGGTGAGTAGGGGATATGGTGAAAATGTAGCCTATGGGGTATGTGTTTATATAAGCAAAGCCAATTTAAATGAAAACATGTTCCCCAGATCTTCCAGTGGCTTTCTGGTATGTATGCATATTTGTTGTATAGCCTGCTAGGTAAGCTACAAACTGAGATGCAAAGAACTATATGTGGGCTCATCCTATAGGTTAGCACCTCTAATGAATGCTTTATGTCTCTTAAGTCTAATGTGATCATTGAAGCTTGAAAAGGTTCAGTGTTCTGCCCAAGATTCCACAGCGAGCAAACAGATGAGCCAGAATGAGAACTCCAGTCAGTCTGATGCCAGATACTGTGCTCTTTCCCACTGTGCCTCATGACCCCCATTCTGAGAGACAGACACAGACACCAGCCAGTTTTATCCACTCTGCATCTCAGCTTCTGTATCCACTCCCACCACCATATTTCCCTGAATAACTGCTTTTTAACACAAGTGAGGGAACAGAGGAAGAAATGGGAAAGGAGCAATTGGACTTTAACCTTAAGTACTAGGTGTTGAGAAACTGGTAATAATAATAACATCTTCTGGAAATATCAAAGAACAAATATGCAAACATTTTATATTGTTAAAAATCACATTTTAACTCCAAATCCCATTTGTCAGCTCAATAACAGTGACTCATGATTTTCTTCTCTTTTGGTGTTATCTGACCTTTAAAAAAGAACATTTGTTTAAAATGATAGTACCAAAGTAAGAGGTATGTATTTTTCATTACCCTCATATTACTTTGGAGTTTGAGGGAAAACAAGGTCATCAGTACATCAGATATAAATATCCTACTATAGCCCTGGTCAGTTTGGCTCAGCTGTTAGAGCATTGGCCAGGGACCAAAAGGTCTCAGGTTCAATACCCATCAAGCATGTACCTGGGTTGCTGGTTTGATTCCTGGCTTGGCCATGTGGGAGGCAACCAATCAATGTGTCTCTTTCACATTAATGTTTCTCTCTCCCTCTCTCCCTCCTCCTTCCTTTCTATTCTATCTAAAAATCAATGGAAAAAATCCATGGGTGAGGATTAACAACAACAACAACAACAAAAAAAAAAACAAACACTAAAAATAAAAATAAATGAATATCCTAGTATCATCCACTGTGGAGGCAGGACATAAGGCCCTTTCTCTCCTGACCTTAGTTTCCCTGACTTTTTCCCCTGCATTGGCTCCCAAAACTGGTGAGAGAGGGCAGGTGATACCGTAGGGACAGTGACCTGCTTAAGTGACAGGTGGGAAAAGCTGAGTGAACACTTCACTTTACTCTCTTGAACTTTTACTTTGATGTATGGTGGGAAGGGATCCATTTATAATTCTTATTTCGGAGTAATGATATTAAATCACTAAGATTCTAGAAACTGTTCTCTTAGACGTGTTACCAAGTTGTTAACATTTCAAAGGGCCAAATAAATTGTCAGTGGTGAAAATGGCTGGTGGTTAACATTGCAATGCATTGTGTGATAGAGTGAAATGTTGGTTGTACTCCTTCAAAAGGCTATTAAACCCAAGGGGTTAATGTCTACTGTAGCACTTCAGAATAGTGACTATTTGTGTCTGTCTAAAATTTGTAATATGCATGATAAAATGCAATAATAGCCTTTTAAAATCTACCTATTGGAGGACTTATTCTAACTTGTCATACTTTATCATCAGAAGAAAGTTTATGCATAAAAATTGCATAACTACCTATTAAACATTGCTCCTAGTTTGACTATTATGAATGTTATAATAACCTGCTAAAATATTGATAATATTTATTTGTTGTTTCTTTAATCACAGGGTTCTATCTTGATACCCTTCCCTCTGTTTCTGTTGTTTTCTATTTAGCGGATACTACAGGACCATTATGACTAATGGAATTATGACATATATTTGACTCTTTTCACTAAGCTCTGTTTGCTAAATACCTGCTCAGATAAACCTATTGAGGGATTAGTATAACAAAATCGCACAGCTCTAACAAGAGAATTCCTGTTTCCTATATTTAGCATGTGGCTAAATTATACCCTGTATAACTATAACACTGAACAAACATTTCTGTGGATCTGAAGAAGCATTAAGTACAAATATATCTGGACTCCTATTCTTTTTTTTCAAATAGATTGACCACAGAGATGAATCCCATGGAAGGTATCCATTAATTATAGTCCATTGTAATCTGGGAGTTGGAGAAAATTGATTAACTCTAATGTATAAGTTTCAGTTTTTTCTACCCTCAGGTAATATGCACTAATTTCCAATTATGATAGTGAGCACTAGGCCAATATGAGTAAATAAAATCCACAAATACATTTATGTCTCACTTTAATCACTGGCATTGACCATTTCCAAGAGAAAACATTGTGGAATGAGAAAATAACAGGATTTAATGTCCCAGCACTGCTGTTTTCTAGCTGCATGTCCCAGGGGAGTTATCTGGATAACAGTACATTCAACTGTGATTTGGGTTTAATTTAATTAATATTCATTACCAAGAACTTGGTATGTACTAAAAATTTGAAAACTGTTTAAACTATTTCATGGATTTTCTTAGACAGGTAACTCATATTATCAATAATAGTAATACTGGTACAAATTCAAAGTGTTTCTAAGCTAATAAAATAATGGGTTCAGATTTATAAGTGCCACACAATACATATGTTCTCTTTGCCCTATTATTGTGTATGAATTGTGTTAAATAATGAGACAAATGTGGTTGTTATTCCTATGACCTCTCACTGCTAGGATTTCTTTCGCTCATGTCTTCAAAATGATATTAAAAATGACATGTCAATCTTTTCTTTTAGTTGAACAGGTAGTTAAGCCCAAGGAAAACAAAACAGAAAGTGAAAATACTACAGATAAACCCAAAAGAAAGAAAAAAGGACACAAAAATAGAAAAAATAGAAAAAACAGAAAGAAAAATCCATGTGATACAAAATTTCAAAATTTCTGCATCCATGGAGAATGTAAATATATAGAGCACCTGAAAACAGCAACATGCAAGTAAGTTTTCCTAAATTGTGTAGAATTCTGTATTTCTAATGCCATGTCTGAAACTCCTAGCTGCAGAAAATCATTTATATTTGCAATGTATAAACCAAGAGTCTATAAACCTTTTCTTAAAAACCAGATATTAAATATTTTAGGCTCCCTGGGTCAAGATTATGTATGTACTTATATAATAAATTAAAAAGTAACCACTTCACCCTGGGCGGTATGGTTTGATTGGTTGGGCAATGTCTCATGCATTGAAAGGTTGCCAGTTTGATTCTTGGTCAGGTCACATGCCCAGGTTACAGGTTAGATGACCAATTGATGTTTTTCTCTTCTACTGATGTTTCTCTTTCTCCCTCCCTCCCTTCCTCCTTCCTGCCCTCTCTATTCCTCTCCCTTCCTCTCTCTAACAATCAATAAAAAATATTTTTAAAAGAGTAACCACTTAAAGATGTAAAAACCAATTTTTGGCTTGCACACTGTAAAAAAACAGACAAATGGCCAGATTTGACCCATGAGCTGTAGTTGACTGACCCCTGGTTATAAACCATCATTTTATAACAGAGATTTTACAACAAAATCTCTGTTGTAAAAAATGGACCTAAAGGTACTTTTCACATAATGTTGTTCTATCATCCTTTCCCCCCAAAATTGCTAGCATATGAAATGATAGTGGAATATATTAGCTGCAAACAATCACTGAATTCATCAGCTGGTCATAAAAGGAGCACAAAGAATGAAAAGGTGTGTCTTCCTAGAATAACACCCAAACTAATCTCAACTTGTTCTTATACGAATAGATCTTTGGCTCAGATGCATTCTTTGTCTCATGATTTTGAAATACAAACACAAGGCATGACTTATTTTTCTAGTATTAGAATTAAATGGTTATGACCTAGAAAGTAAGACTAAAATATATAGAATGTTTTTACACATTATAATTTTGGAATGTGATTATTTGCAGATGTCATCAGGATTACTTTGGTGAACGGTGTGGGGAAAAATCCATGAAGACTCACAGCATGGTTGATGGTGATTTATCAAAAATTACATTAGCAGCTATAACTGCCTTTGTCTTCGCCGTGAGCTTTGCGGTCATTGCTGCTGTTATTGCAATCCAGTAAGTATGGCATAACGTAGAAATTCCTCATAAAATAATGTTGGGTTAATTTCAATATTTTTAATCACAATATACTATCATATTTCAAATAGATTATTCTATTGGTGGCACGTGATCTTTACTTTTGATTGACAAACATCACAGAATATGGTCCAAATTTATATTACTTTAACCACCATAGAAACTTAAAGGCCTTTTTCATAAAATCTATAAATTTTTTAACTTAAAAATTGATGATTTTGTTTTATGTCATATTTCTACTAATGGCTACTTTCAAATTTCAGAGTGTTGGTATCTACTATGAATATCTTAAGCTTAAGCAAGCCTCCCAGAATGTAATTAATGTCTGGTTCATAGTAGATTGTCAGAGATACTGCTTTGGTACAAAAATCACAAAGAGTTTTAAAATCAGAGCCCGGAAAGATACCTCTTTTTATTAGAATGCAAAATTCTGAATTAGGAATTTCATATCATGGCCCTAATTTACTTAGAGCTTATGCCTCTTTTGTTACTGTCAAATGCAATATGGGAACTCAGTGATTAAAAACACACAACATTTCCTGCATGTGGTACGAGGGCATGGCGTAGGAAGCAGGGACAAGCCTATTACTGTCTCACTCCTGCAGTATCTTCCCTGTGCTCACAGTAACAGATCTCATGCTTCACTTTATGACCAATGAAGGTTAGAACTAGACTGTTCCAGCTTGTGGACACTGGTGGGTATGTCAAAATGGCATTGTCTGTCAAACAGAAGTCAGTGAATTAAGGAAGCTGGGGGAGGGTGTGAATGGCTCTATAATGACTCATTGCTACTAGAGCTTGGGAAAAGCAATAGCCTCATTATTCTAATTTTAGGTTTTAGTAAATTACTTTAACAACTTGATTGTGTACATGATCCACCACTCAGGAAACAAGGGGTTATCTTCGACCATTGTTTACTATTATTTTAAATGCAGACCAGATAATGATAAAATGGTACATAAAAAAACTGTTTTATGATGCACATAAAGTTTGATCTGTGGCTTAAATTTGTTTTGCACACCCCAGAAATGATTTTGATCTCTTAATACCTCAAGCTTAGATAGGCAGATGTGTTTAGGAATGATACCTTCACACAAACTATTATTATTTAACATAGAAGGATAGAAGAAAAAAAAAGTTGCCAGTTAAAGAAGATGGTTTGAAGTAATTATTTAAGACTGTAATTATTCAAATTGAAATATTTAATAATCTTTTGGAAAACATGAAAAAACTTTATCATGTTAGCACTCTTAAAACTAAGCCGTGACTATTTTTCTTTTCTCCCATATTCTCCTTGTATTTGAGACACATAACAAACACTAGCCTAAGCCTCAATTGCTATCTTCTCATATTGTAGTGAATTTTTTCCTAAACATCATAGGAAAGGATCTTATGATTTTAAATAATAAAATTTGGTGGGTGAATTAAAGATTGACTAAAAGTAGACTACAGCACCAAGACATTTTTAAACCATTCAGTCTTTTAATAGAAAGTAGAAATACATAGAATATTTCAAAATAAATAAAACCCAACTTGTTTTGTAAGCCTGCTTTAAAAAATTCTAATCATTTAAATTAGTTTGTTTAAGCATAAAGTCTTTCTCTGGTAAAACTGTACTATCTTCTTCCTCCACTTGTGCATGGCAACTGTGCTGTGTTTTGAAAAATAAAAATACATATTTATGTGTGCCATGCTTTCAAAAAGTTTGCATCTCAAGGCACATTTATTTAAATGTCAGTACTTTGGAAATATGATTACATAAAGTCACCATACATATCCTATTGAAAAGAACATTGGTTTAGTGTAATGTGTAATGGTCTATAGGTACTCACAAAAAGAAATTCTCTGCACTCATGAAAATCCCAATTAATATATGGATAAACAAAACTTTGATGACAGTAGAATATTTTGTTTTCTGAAGGCTTCGAAAACGATACTTCAGGGAATATGAAGGAGAAGCTGAAGAGCAAAAGAAACTTCGACAAGAAAATGGAAATGCACATGCCATAGCATAAATGAAGATGATGTTACAGGTTTGTGTTTTAAAAGATATTTTTAGATCACATACTATAATTTTGAAAAATATAGCATCTATTTAAAAAAAAACAAGGAAAGTAAGTGTTCTTAATTGTAGGTACACTGTTAACATTGGTTACATTGAAGTGTTATTTTTTGAGCGTGAGATGGAGTTCAATATTGAGAAAGAACTCTGTCCTTAGTATTATAAAGGATTTGAAAATGAGGGAGACATAGATCCTCCTCTCAAAGAACTTAGTGTTTAGTAGATAGAAAATAGGGTAACCAATGGTTGTTGCAAATGACAGTATTTTATCTTATGGCTAAGTAGTATTCCATTGTATGTATGTACCACATTTTCTTTGGAACCTGAGAATATCATGCTAAGTGAACTAATTCAGACAGAAAAAGTCCAAAACTGTACGATTTCACTCATATGTGGGATACAAAACTGAAAGCAACAAATGAACAAATGAGAAAAACAAATGAACAAAATCTCATAGACACAGACAACAGTATGGTGGTTACCAGAGGGAAGGGACATGGAGGGTAACAGAGAGTTAAGGGGATCAACTATATGGTGAAGGAAGAAGACTTGACTTTGGGTGGTGGCACACAATGTAATATACAGATGCTATATCATAGAATTGTACACTTGAAACCTATCTAATTTTGTTGACCACTGTCACCTCAATAAATTAATTGTTAAAAAGAAAGGAACCACCCTGCCGGTTTGGCTCAGCGGTTAGAGCGTCGGCCTGTGGTCCGGAGAGACCCCGGTTAGGTTCCCTCTAAGGGCACGTACTTCGGTTGCAGTTTGTCCCCGGCCCTGGTTGGTCGTATGGGTGGCAGCTACTCGATGTGTCCCTTTCACATCGATGTTTTTCTCTCTTTCTCTCTCTCTCTTCCTCTCTCTCCCTCCCACTCTATCTGTACAAAAAATGGAAAAAAAAATGTCCTCAGGTGAGGATTAAAAAAAAAAAGGAAAAGAAAGGAACCAATGGAATATGAGGGGTTTCCAACGAAAGCTAGAAGGGATCCACTAGGATGCAGGTAGAGAGCAGGAGAGGGTGGACATATAAGGTAGCATTGAGTGAGCCTTAAAGTACTAATGAAATTGGGACAAGCAATTATGAGAGGAGAGCAAGATTAATACTGAGATGCACTAGATTGTTTTAGAAACTTGTGACAAATAGCTTAGTTCAAATGGGTGTTGGGGGAGATTAGGTTGAAATGACAGGTTGAGCTCACATAATGGGGAGCCAAAGTCAGAGTGCTCTCTTTACAAATGTGAGGTACCGTCAGGTTGAATATCCCTTTAATGAAAGAGAGGAGGGGGTACAAATTTGAAGGATCTTGGTTAGAGTATATATTGCAGCTTTATCTTTAATTTTTTGTAAAAAGAATGAGTTGAGCGTGTTGGTAGGGAGAGGGTATGAAGATATGGAGAGAGATATTTGATAACAAAGTGAACAGCTAATGAAGCAAACTTCTAGAGGAAGAAAAGGAGGCAAAGAGCTCAAGGTCAGTCAGAAGAAGGAACTCTATTCCCTCAGACATTCAGGAAAGGTGTCATATCCTTAAGTCACTGATTTTCTTCCTTCAGTGGGTTTAAGAATTACTTGAGATATGTATTAAATATGCATATTCCTAAGCCAAATCCCAAATTGACTAAGTCAGTATTTCCACTTTAAATTAACACTATAGATGGGCAACCACTACATTAAGCATCGGTTAAGTGTAGGTATGACCTTGTGAGACTATTACAGAACTAGCATAGTAACTCATGAAATAGGTAATTATCCATGCCAATGCTATCCTCTGTACTTATTGCATGAAAACTTATTAATTTATGGGCTTAATGTGCTGATGCTAAAACCACCAACATAAATAAAGGTGGATTTTTTTATTATTTAGTGCAATTGAAATTTGTTTTTTAATTTTATTTTTTAAAATTTTATTGAATTTATTGGGGTCACGTTGGTTAATAAGATTATAATGGTTTCAGTTGTGCAATTCTATAATACATTCATCTGTATATTGTATTGTGAGTTCACCACCCTAAGTCAAGTCTTCTTCCATAACCATTTGTCCCCCCTTTACCCTCTTCTACCTCCCCCTAAGTAGGTCCCAGATGGTTTTAGGAGAAGGAATATGCTGTGCTGGCACATAGTGGCTGCCTATTAACTGGTAGCTACTATTATTATGCCCTTGGTACTAATTATCTTAAATTAACTGTATAACATAAATACACCGAGCCATTTAATCTTTGTTTTTAATTATGTCCACTGCATAGATTTGGTTAGGGAAACCATTTATCATGACTGTGGTTGCTTTTTGTTAAGCAGAATTTGATGCAACAGGTTTAAGCAAATGCAGTCTTCTCCCTAAGTAGGTATGTAACCAAAGGAGACGTGAGAGAGGGATTCCAGTCAAAGCAATAGTTTGTCTCTGAAATGCTTGTAGCATTTTTCATGACATTCTAGAACAAAAAAATGGATAGAAATTCTGATTCTTTGGCACTTTGTTAAAGCTTTGTTGGGATTGAGCCCTTTTCCCCCCTAACACTTTACTTTATTTTTGAACAGGGTATCTGATCGGAGTCACTACCAAGTCACAACCAGGAGTGATGCGTTGGTTTCTCTTTTCAGTGGATCATAAGAAAACAGAACTTTTTGTTCTGATGGTTTTAAACTTTCAATTGTCACTTTTTATGCTAAGCCTTATTTCTGTACATAAAGATGCATGGAGAGAAAAAGTATTTTTTCAAATTGTAAATAATTTATTTAATATTTAATAGAAGTGTATTTATTTTACAGCTCATTAAACTTTTTTTAATCAAACAGATTGAGAGTTTGAGTATTAGTTTTGAGATTGCAAGACTCTAGGGATTTTCTCATAACACTTAGGTAATCATTTTAAAAGGAGTTCCTTCCCTTTCCTTTTTATTTTTTTGTATTGTTTTATTTTAATTTCCAAAACTTCTTTTCTTAGAAAGAGCTCATAATGGGAAAATTATAAACTAGAGTCACAAATACAATCTCAAACTGGCCTTTCTTATTGCCTGTAGAATTTATTCCAAGTACTGGTAATTATAAATGACTCTAAAATCAATATATGGTGATTCCTCTCTGTTACACTAGACACAGATATTATAAAAGAAAGAAAATCTACTGCTTATCATTATTATCACCATAATAAGAAGGAGACAATAATAGGTTTGAATATTACAAATGTGGCATTTCAAGAGAATCAGGAAGTATTTAGATTTAAGGCTTCTTTCCCTAACGCCATGACATGAATGCATAAAGCATCTAAAACCCACACCTCCTTTCCCCTCTTTGCTACTATTTTCTTACATCTTTTCTTTAATCTTTATTGTTGAATGTATTACAGATGTTCCTCATTTTTCCCCCATTGACCCTCTCCTCCCCCCTCCCACTCCCCTCCCACCTTCCTCTCACCTTTCCCCCACTGTTGTCTGTGTCCATTGGTTATGCATGTAAGTTCTTTGGTTTATTTCTTCCCAACCCCCAACCTCCTTCCCTTTGAGGTTTGTCAGTCTAGCAACCGATTTGTACTTCTTAATCCCTTCACCTTTTTCACCCATTCCCACAACCCCCTCCTAGCTGGCAACTAACAAAATGTTCTTTGTATCTATGAGAATGTTTCTGTTCCACCTGTTCATTTTGTTTGTAGATTCAATTGTCGATAGACATGTATTCATTGACATTTTGTTTGTTCATATTTTTTATCTTTTTCTTCAAAAAGACCCTTCATCACCACCAAACTGTTATTATATAAAATGATGAAGGGTCTTACATCTTTTTAAACAAATATATGTGTATTTGTGGTAGGTGCTCTTTCAAGAAGCTTAATATTGTGGAATGACTCACAGTCTGGTTCCTGGCTGGTCAACTAAGTTACCTGCATGCAAAACAATGCTTAAAATATGTGGATAGTATCTTGAGGAAATGAACAAATAATAAACATAATTCCAGCAATCATCTCATAGAATGTCATGAATGAAAGGTGCCTTACACATCAACACTCCCATCTGTCTCTAGCATACAATTTACCAAATTATTGCCCAATGATCATCTAATCAATTGCTCCCCAGCTTCACCTGCATGTTTATCATTTGAGTTTTAAATTACCACATGCTCAGGTTCCCCTTCTGGACCTCACACCTGACAGAATGGCCGCCATCAACAAATCATCAAACAACAAGTGTTGGCGAGGGTGTGGAGAAAAGGGGACTCTAATACACTGCTGGTGGGAATGCAGACTGGTGCAGCCACTATGGAAAACAATATGGTGTTACCTCAAAAAATTAAAAATTGAACTTTCATTTGACCCAGTGATCCTGCTTCTAGGAATATACCCTAAGAAACCTGAAACACCAATCAGGAAGAATATATGTACCCCCATGTTCATAGCAGCACTATTTACAATAGCTAAGATCTGGAAACAGCCCAAGTGTCCATCAGTAGATGAATGGATAAAAAAGCAGTGGTACATATACACAGTGGAGTACTATGCAGCTGTAAGAAAGAAAGATTTCTTATCCTTTGAGATGACATGGAGGGACATGGAACTTATTATCCTAAGTAAAATAAGCCAAGCAGAAAAAGACAAGTACCATATGATCTCACTTATATACGGAATATAATGAACATAACAGTCTGAGGAATACGGTAGACCCAGAAACATGGAAGTAGGGCACAGACTGACAACCCTCAGAAGAGGGGGTGGGGGGGTGGGAAGAGATAAACCACAGAACTTATATGCGTGTATACATAACCAATGGACATGGACAACAAAGCCGGGGACGGGTGGGGTGGGGAGGGGGGCGCCAATGGGGTAAAAAAGGAGAAACATCTGTAACAAAAAAAATAAATAAATAAATAAAAATAAAAAAAATAAAAAGATACCTAGGAATAAACTTAACCAAAGAAGTAAAGGACCTATTTGCAGAAAACTATAGGACACTATGGACATTTTAAAGATGTTAATTCTTCCTTTCCACAAACATGATATATGCTTCTAATTAGTTGTATTTTCTTCTATTTCTTTCTTCAGTGTCTTATAATTTTCCATGTACAGGTCTTTTACATCCTTGGTTAAATTTATTCCAATGTTTTTTGTTTGTTTGTGTTTGGATGCAATTATAAATGGGATTGTTATCTTAGTTTCCCTTTCTGATAGTTCATTATTGGTGTATAAAAATGCAACTTATTTCTAGATATTTATTTTGCATCCCGCTACTTACTGAATGTATTTATCAGTTCTAGTAGTTTTTTAGTGGAATCTTTAGGGTTCTCTATATACAGCATCATGTCATCTGCAAATAATGACAGTTTTACTCCTTCCTTTCCAATTTGGATGCCTTTTATTCCTTCTTGTCTGATTGCTGTGGCTACGACTTCCAGTACTATGTTTAATAAGAATGGTAAAAGCAGACACTATTCCTGTTTTGTCGATGAAATACAGACAACAGTATGGTGTTACTAGAGGGGAGGTGGGTGGTAAGAGGTAGACAAAGGTAAAGGAGAGATAAATGGTGAAGGAAAGAGACTTGATTTGGGGTGGTAAACACACAATACAATATAGAGATGATGTATTATAGAATTGTACCCCTGGAGCCTATATAATTTTATTAATGCCACCCTAATAAATTCAATTAAAAAAAAGAATAAAGAAATAAATTATTAAATTGCAAAAAAAATAAATGAGCAAACAAAATAAAACAGACTTATAGAAACAGAGAGTAAACTGATGGTTGCTGGAGGGGAGGGGCATTGGGTGAATAGGTGAAAAAAAAGTGAAGGACAATCTATTTAATAATATTGTGATATCTTTGCATGGCAACAGATGATTACTAGACTTAGTGTGTTGATCACATTGTAAGGTATATAAATGTCAAATCACAAATGTTGTATGCCTGAAACCAATCTAATAGTGTATACCTACTATACTTCAATAAAATTTTTTTAATAAAAAAAAATATAAATACACACACACACACACACACACACACACACTAGGGTGGGTCATTGACATTTGTATTTTTAAAATATCCCTATACATTTCCTATATACAATCTGTGTTGAGAACCTCTGGTTCCTCTCTACAGTATACATTTAAACATCGACAGTATACATTTAATTCAACCTTATTCACTAAATATTTATTGTGGATGATTCAAGTATAGTGCGAGAATATGAGACAAGTCCATGACTTTGATATGTGTTCCACCTACCTGACACAGGAAAGTGAAGTAAATAACTAGATGAGGTCTGTGCTAGGATCCTTGCGTGTCCAAGGAGTTCTCACCTAGTTCAACCTGATTAAGTCAGAGAGGGCTTCCTACAGAGATGTTAGTCAAGATTTTGCTTGAAGGATGAGTAGGAGTTATGTAGAGAAGATCATTATAGATACAAGCAAAATTATGATGTCATTAAACAGTATGACCTGAAAATAAAAATACATAAAATATTTTAGTATTATTGAACCAGAAAGTGTGAAATCAATAGGCTGTAAAGGAAGCTGGAGTGGTAAGGGCAGGGTCACAGAGGGCCTTTGACTTACACGGCAGGCCATGAGGAACCATTTAAGCCAGTTGACCAAGGGTATAAACTTGATCAGATTTGCATTCCAAGTAGGTCACAGGCAACCCTGTGTGAGAGGGACTTGAACCAAAGCCAAAGGGCGGAAGATTGGCTTGGAAGCAGTTGAAATATGCCAAGTGAGAAATGAACACCTGAAGCTGGAAAGTGAAAGCTGGGAAAGAGAAACTCAACCTGTATTTGAATACTTTTTATTTTTATAGATTAAAAATACAAAAGCAAGGTAATTTATTACAAAAGCAAGGCTAAGTGTAATGAGAAGGTGAGCAAAGAGAGGAAATCTTTTTTTTTTTAATTAAATAAAATTTATTTTTTTAATTGTCAGTATTACAGATGTCCCCCAATTTCCCCTTTTTTGCACCCCCCCCCCACCCAACCCCCTCCTTACCCCAGACCTTTCCCATACCATTGTCTGTGTCCATGGGTTATGCAAACATGCATTTATGATCTTTGGTTTATCTCTTCCTATCCCCTTCACCTTTGAGATAAGTTATTCTGTTCCATTCATTCATGCCTCTGGACCTATGACCCTCAGATTCCTGGCTTTGATGGCTAGGCAGACAGTGACATCATCATTTTAATCTTTTGAACTAGCTTATTGAATATTCTTGATGGAAAACATGGCTTTTTATTTATCCTTGACTGAAAATGGCTTTTCTCTATTTTGCACAGTCACCCTTTCCAATCTGTAATGAATTTATGAAGCAATAAATACCAACCCAGTCAATTAGTCCACTGAATCAATCCTGGCCCGTATGTCACATCTGAGATTGAGCAAATGAGAGGAAAAGTCCAGATCTGAAAGTGTGATAATGAGTTCAGCTTTGGATCTGTTGAGTTTGAGATGTCAGAAGATATCAAGTAAGCACTTAGATATACAGTCTAAAGTTCAGGGAGGGGAAGAATTATAGATTAAGAGTTGCCAAAATATCTATATTAACTGCAACCACAAAAGCGGACTCAAGATTATGTAAGGAGGTTGTAATGAGTCTGAAGGAAATATATTTGTATTAATAAA